GAAGGAAGGAAGGAAGGAAGGAAGGAAGGAAGGAAGGAAGGAAGGAAGGAAGGAAGGAAGGAAGGAAGGAAGGAAGGAAGGAAGGAAGGAAGGAAAAGAAAAGTTAGAAAGGGCACATTTGAAGAGGAGCCCTTAAGCATCCTCGACTTCAGCTGCTGCTATGAGCTACAGCTAAAGCTATGGTCTGTAGCAGTGGACCCAATGTGCACAGGAGGTAAGTCTAAAACAGTATACACCAGATATGAATTCTCCAAAAGCTGAAAGAAGGGCAACATATTGAAACGTAAATATTTCTCAATTGAGTCAAAATTAGAAATAAATACATATTTATCAGTTGATAACCATTGAATAGAGCCTTTTAAAAATTGCTTAGTCCAAATTAGCTTTTTACCACCAGGCTTGTTCTGCAGGTACTACTAACTTAGTGTAACATAATAATAAACAACTGAATGATCAAGAGAATGTTATGAATTACTCAGTCAATATGCTTCATCGTTCCTATAAAGTCCAAAATGTTAAGTCCTCTAAATTTTTCTGTTTAATTTTCTTGTTATCCATTATCCAAGATTCCAATTTCAGTGATACTCTGTTTTGAAATGAATACACAATATTTGTTTGCCTTTATTTTACCTCCTTTAGAAGAGAATTACTAACATGCATATGCTTTTACATGTTACTCATAGCAAAGGATCAAGTTAAAAAAACAGTGTAAATAGCTCTGATATACTAAATAGTATGATTTTCTAAACAGATATTAACTCAGAAATAATAGTTATCAATTTTGCATACAATGAAAAATAATTTAGAATAAAGCTTTCAAACTTATTTGACTTTATAATGTAAAACTGTTCATAAGTAAGAATAGGAATTCCGAGATTCCACCAGAAAATCAATTACTTCCCTAATTAATAAAATAACTTTATTCTGGATTTATAATTTTCCAGTAAAAAAGTATTAAAATTTTTTAAAAATCAGACTGTTTCCATTAGGCCAAAAGAATAGTTAGCTGGATGGTCAATATCCATTTAAAGAGAAAAGTTTTTGCTTGTAATATATGCTCACATTTAAACTTTAAACTACTTCATTAGAGCAATATACATTTGAAGATACTCTGAGTCTCATTCCCAGGCTACAGTATCTAGTGCCTTAGAGGCTGCCTGGAGGATCTGAAGCACTGATCTGAAGGCAGGTCTTCTGCCTCATGCTTCTTTCCTACAGCACTTTCTTTTGTTCACATACTCCTTCCAACTCTTATCTTTCTTATCTCCTTCATTAAAGCCTCTTCTTGGTCTTGGATTGCCTCAAAACAAGTGAGGAACCCTTGGACCTTCCAAGGATGGAGAACATGGATGCAAATCCTGAAAGGTCACTGCCTCTTGGCAGGATTTTTCTGCAGGAAGACAGTCTTTCACTGCTGCCTCCTCTCTCATCAGTGTTTGAATATGCTGTAGTTCCTCCAGAGCAAACTTCAGGTCACTTGGGCATAGGTACTACTGTTGAATTTAGCTCCTTTCTTGGCTAGGTTTTAGAATCCAAAATATAATTTCAAAGTTTTTGTGTTCTACATTTAATACAACAATTATATCCTTATCAGACACTATTTTCACATGCTGAACATTTTGTCAGGGGGTGAGATGGTGATGGGATCTAGTATCTCAGCTAGTATCCATTTCTGTTCCAAGATATGTTTAATTGGGACACTTTATAACATGATCCAGTGATTGACACTCCATGTAAAGCAGGGGAAGTCACAATACAATTTCTGCCATTAATGCAGGGAAGAATATAGAGAATGAACTAAATGTCATGAAGCATTTACAGGAGTTGAGCTTCTTTATTTGTGGCTAGGGATTGCTTTCCATTTCACAAGACAGAGGAAAAAGTCAAGCATCGTTTTTCATTTAATTTTTTCAAGTTTCTAGTTGTCCTATCATGCATAATACATTAAATTCTTAGCTTTTAAAATTAAATTGGAATAATTAAAGATTTTTCAATTGCTAAATGTTATTCTTTATTGTGTCAGGATTTTCTAGGGCTGCTTTTGAAATAGTTTTACTAGTTTGGAAGTAAATGCAAAGTTTTGAATTTAATAATATTCCGTGGAAACGGTTTGAAATTGCATAATGCTTATAAGTCTTTATAGGAAACAAAGGCAGTATAGTTAATGTGCATGTTTTCAAATTGCAGGCAGCATAATGAGATAGGAAGAATTTCAGAAAGTTAATCTAAAGTGAGGAATGCATGAGAGAAGCTCATATTCCTGAGCCCATCATTAACTTTGTGCAAAAGTCATAAAATGAAAAACTGGAAAATCTTTATTACTTACATGACGTTAGGAATATTTGGCAATGAAGATGTAGACAAAAGAAATGAAGAAAATTGTGACCAATGCTAGTCCTATTGAATCTAAGAAATAAATTTTGACTATATGGTGCATCTGACTTTCTTTCATGCCAACAGAAATTAGCCATTGATACCCAGGGGAATGAAATGGGACCTGCCTGATACAGTTTGCTTTGACTATTCATTCAGTACTTTTTAATAAAGCAACTAAATTAGGTATAACTTGCTACAGCTATAATGAACATATAAAAAATTATTAAAATGATAAAAGTCGGTAGCCTTAAATACTGTCTTAGAAGATTGTGACCCAAAGAGCCTTGGAAAGGTGCTAATACAAGTGAATATTCTGAAAAGCAATTCCTCACTGTTATTTTGCAATGAAAATATAATAGCAATAATATAGCTCTTTAGCCATAAAACATTAGTTTATATTTTGAAGCAAAACAAATTATTTGTTATATTTAAACTATATTTGTCTGACATTTTCTAAACTTCTCTGAATCACTCACCTGAAATGAGAAAAACCTGAAAAGGCTCTCTTTGAAACCTAGGATAACTAACATCTTTGAAGAATAGTGGGATAAATTGTACTACTCCGTTTATTTAACTATTGAAAATATGTGTTCAGTATTTAAATATTCTCTAAATTTCTGTATGACTTCAGATCATGTGGCTTTCTTGTGTGTCATTTACCTGCTTCATATATAACAGTTTCAAGTAGCTTTGTGTTTTTAAATACAGTGTTTGTAATTTCTCTGGCTCTCAGTGAAATTCACACTTCATCACATATGTTATTAACATGTCTAATTCTTTCACCACCCTTACTAGTACTTAGTAGACAATATTTAATAATAAATATTTTTAAAAATGAAATTTAACATCTTCTTTAGCCAGTGAAGAAGTTATATCAGACATCATTGTACCTATACTATATTGGAACAAGAAAGATGAATAAACGAAAAGTCTACCAAGGCTTCTGAAAATGGATAAATAAAAATTGCCACTCAGTATGATAATGAGAAATGTAAATGAATTCCAGGGGCCAAATTATGTGGGTTTTGTAGGAAAAAGAAAAGAAAGAAAGAAAAAGAGAAAGAAAAAGAGAAAGAAAAAGA